GGCCGCTCTTGGTTGGGACATGACATTGTGTCCCTGTGCCAATGACCTCGAAGATCAAACCGGTCATCGCTCGCCACGTTCGATATCAGCCGATTGAAGACGTAGTGGCAGGGCGGGCTGTACATTACCAGCTTATGTCAATTGCACAAGCTACCGAGCTTGCGTGAATAAGAAGCAGAGAGACTGCAGTGTTTGCAGCCCCTTTTTGGCCAATGAGACCCATGTCACATGTCCTAGAATCAGCTCTCTATATCTTTGGCTGAGCAAACAAGGTGTCCCGCAGCTGTATCCAGCTTATGGGGTGAACATCACCTCCATCATGGCTGATGAGGAGGAGGCAGGGAGCCTTGACAAAGGCTCAAGAATAAGACTGTGGAACCCGCAGGTTGACACGTCATGTTTACATCTCCATCCACAATATCATCAATGTCCTGGTCTGGTTGACGGGTACCATATGGTACCATCTGGCCAAAGGGCCGGAAGCCACTTCAGTGCATTAGAAAGTCCAGAGATGAAACCAATATGGCTTGCAGGAGTCGACTCGTGGCATTTCGATCGATCCCTCTACTGACTGAACATCCGATCTACTGACGTCCAGTTGAAGACCGAACGGTCAGAACGTCCAGTGCATAAGCTTGCGCCATGCTGTCCTCGAGTGCTATACGCTTGGGTGATTGACGCGTCCCGGTGAGGTCAAGGTCCCCACGGATCGTGGCGAAGCCGGAGTCCCAGGTGAGTTCGTCCTCTTGGGATCTCAGAAGTCGACAGCAGGAAAGTCGACCGTTGGATGTCCCGGAACACCGATGTGTCCACATCCAGCGATCTCATGGCGAGCGCAAAAGAACTGCTCGCCTTGCTTGCGATGCCATGCGGCCGAGGCATCTCCCAGCAGTAAAAGCGTGGTTGAAAGCTCAAGTTTGCAATGACGCATGTGGAGGGTGCAAACTTTATGTAGCAGCTGTGTGGACACTGCTGAGGTCAAGGACATTGACGAGGAGGCCAGCATTTGGCATAGGTCCTTGCTTCAACGTCCAAAGCTGGAGGACCTGTATTCTGCTTTGTGTATATCTCATCAAGTTGGTTCCTGAAGAGGTGGCGTTTGTTGCCGTTTTCATTGAGCTTGCCTGCGTTGCAGAGTGGCCAGACCATGCTGCCAAGCTTGTTCGAAGATTCGCCTCCACCTCCCAAAACCGTGAGAACCTCCGTCCCCTGGGTCCCTCATGTGGGTCGGTGACCGTCACCGGACCGTCCTCCTTGACCGTTCGACCGACCAAAACCACGTCGCGGCCAGATCTCCGCCTTGATCAGCAAGGCCAGGCTACGACTCGAAGGCGCCCCGTGCTACGTACGAGACGGCGATGTCCAGCACGATGGGGCTCGGACATACATGGCAAGAGGGCATCCAGGAGGGGAGACATGTGTTGTAAAATCTAGATCCAACTCCTGAACCATCAGGTGCTCCAAGACTCATGAGGGCCATGCGGAAAGAATCGGAAAGACGGTCTTGTGGTACGTTGTTGCGGATCTTACGCCATGTCCAGTGACATTTCCAGATTTGTGAATCAGCAGCAGCAGCAGCAGCAGCAGGCTTTCAGAAAGGGTTTGGGCATGTTTGGGTTACAAAGTTCGCAGCAAAGCTTGTCGCCAGCCTACAGCCAGCAGGTGTATCCAAGACCATGGAAGACAATGGTGACAAACTGAAGAAGCTCGAGAAGGGGTAGGGAGCACAGATTGTGCCAGAGTGAGGGTGGTGATGGGCAACAGATTGTGACTTGGTGCTTAATATTGAAATTCTATTGAATCAGAGGCCTTGGCGTAGGCATGTCTTTTGTTGGAAATAAGTATAAGTATCCCTCTAGTTGGTTGGAGAATAGGTATCATAAGCAGCAAGTCCGCAATTGCCACTTGCTTTCCATTCAAGTCCTAGGTCCTAGGACAAAAAAAGCGTAGCGTTCCCACTGAAACTCTGGTTCAGAATGTTCATGTTCGTTTCATGAGACTCAAACGCCCTGGACGTCCCCGGTCCCTCAGCTTCTCCGACCTGAAGCGGCAACAAGCGCACGTGGCACGGGAGCAGCAGCAGGCCGCTCTCGAGTCGAGTCGGGCCGCAATGGATTTGGGGAGTCTCAGGACGAAGGCTAAAACAAAATAAGCTGTTTAGGTTTCTTTTGTTGCAAAAGAATGCCTTCTTGTTGGTTCTGGAAGGTATAGATTATGTGCATCCTGTGCAAGTAGGGAGCATAGTTAAGGGCTCAACAGAAGGTCAAAGGTGGGGTGGTTACAGGCAGCTGGCCAAAGAATTGTTTGATGTGTTTCATCTATTTCAGCTGCCAACGGCTTGATGAGTATTTTGATGCTCAGTGAGCACCCTCTACTGCCTTGAGGAGTTTCAGTATTTGTCCATTGGTAGGTTGAGCAGTAGTTAGACAGCCGTAGACGAGAGGTGAAACACGGTGAACAATTGGATACGCAGTGGGAACCCTGAGAAACTCCAAACTACTCTTTGCGCGACGTGATGATTCTATTTGTTTACAAGTCTGGCTGGTTGCAAGTGGGAATAGAACTGGACATCTAAGGGTGGTGGTTTGATGGGCGCACTGATGAGGGTTGTCTTTGACATCAGTTGACATTTGGGCCTTGAGATGCGTTTGAAAGTCTCAAGCACGACAAATAGATATACGCAGCACCTGACTGGACAAAAAAGGCAGGAAAGTGAATCCTCTTCAAAACCAGATAGAATGTGTTTAACAGATGCATTTTTTTACAGATTCTGCATCAATGTTGGGGCCTCACCGCTAGGACACATGTTTGACACATCAGATCCTTCAGCTCCAGGTCATTGGCTCCCTGCAAAATGGTCTCACCACTGCCTGATCGGGGGCGCAGCTTCCTCAGCTCAGCTGCTTGGCTGTTTCAATTTACGACCATGATCAAGGGCTTTAAACATGGGAAGGTACCAGGGTTCCTGCCCCTCCGCATGTGCGGCATGAGCGACCGAGGGTACTGGCGGCTTGGATGTTCTCCACTCAGGTGTGACGAACGTCCGCGTGGCAGTGGAGAGAATGGTCGGAATGGATCAGACGTCACCAAAGTGTTGACGAGACTTTCTCACGAGGCTTCAGGTTTCACAGCAGAAAAGGAGCACTGGCATTCGACAGTTTAACCGGAGCATCACAGGTAATTTGGAGGTAACTTTGATTTGGAGACCACACCTGCCACACCAGTGAATTGATGCGATTTGAATCATAGTTTGAGCGAACGACGCTTGGTGTGGCTCCAATCTGAGGGGCGTTCGGTTCTGTAGCTGTTCTGCCTTTAGGGTGCTCACCTGCGACTTGCAACTTGGCGTTCGAGAAAGGATGATGCGATCAGTTCTCTTTTGATACATTCAAATAACTGCAGCTCTGCGTGATGTGGCCTGCTTTAGCGGAGGGAAACTTGTTGAATAAGATATAACAAGATGCCCCAGGCCCCAGCACTTAAACTCAGTGAAGGCTTGCTGCAAGTTTCGATTCTCTTTGTGGTTCTTGCCTCCCTCCGAACAAAACAGTCTCCAGGGCACTTCAGAGTTCACCAAGTTCGCCCACCAAGGCCTGGGCAATGGGAATCTCCCTGGAAGGTGCACCTACAAACGTGGCCCGGTGGCGCTCAAACGGGGGAAGCGGTGGGCACGGCCGCTCGGCTCGGCCGCTGGGCTCGGAGGCTCCGAACGGTGGTGAAGAACCTGTCAGCATCTCTCAAACATGAAGGACCCTGACCCTGAAGTTGACCGACATGAATCAGATTCTGAGCGGAGTGTTCGATTTCGTGCCCGTTTCAAGAGAAAAGACACAAGGAACCAGTGGATTCCAGGTGTTCATTCTTTGGAGGGAATAGAAGAGGCATGAAGAGACAAAGACACGAGGCGCCACCATTGCCCATTGTCGCCACGTCCTCGCCATGTCCGAGGCACGTGCAGAGGCCAAGAGGAGCACACCACACAAGGCCGCATCAACGACACGAGAATGTGATCATGGTTCGGTGTTTTGTGATGGTTCTTTTGTTGGGTCTGGGACAGTCTGGCATACTCTACCCACGGGTGAGTTAGGACTCCCCTGGTTGACAGAGACACATGAGTTAGGACGGAGCCTTTGGTAAAGCCTAACTTTCTGGTAATGCCAACTCCTAACTCATCATAGAATCATAGCTCAATATATGTTTATCACACCCTCTAAGCATCTCGTGCTATTTTTCCGTTGTTTCTCCTGCAGGCTAGATGGGCAGACCTCTATGATGAGGCCAGCGGCCAGCAGTGTGCATGGATCTTTGGGTGATCACATTCCTATCATGATAAAAAACATAAGTATGAACTCATTGCGATCGGAGCAACTTTGAATTCTAAGCCACAAACTTGGATGTCAGACTAGAATAGACTACACCACTTGCTGCCATTCTCATTCTGGCCGTTATGGTCTTGCCTATGTCAATGCCAAGTTTCGAGTCGGAGCGGGTCTTCCCAGGTCGACGAGGAGAACAGGTCAATCTGCCCGGACTACATGAAGCCGCCTTCTCCCAGCCAGGACACGGAAGACGAAGAATGGCTGGCGCACTTTTGTGGGCACACATCTTCCGGGGAGCATGGAAGAGTTCTGTTGTGCTCGCGGGTGGATGAGGGAGCTGCTTCAGAGATTTGGTCATGCAGGTCTTCAATTAAGAGATATTAAGAGTAATAGTCATGGTATACCAATGTTCTGCTGACTCAAGGCTAGGATGTAGCAGTTTGTCAGGGTGTGTAATTTGAGGTTGTCTTTTCAGCGGACGAACACGAGATGATTCATCAATGTGACTGTTTGGTACATTATGGCATGAACTGTTTGTTTGCTGCATTCCTCCCGGCCGTTTGGATTTTGGTTCATTGTTTGAACGCACCAGAGAACCACGATGAAGCACATGAGCATGAAGACTTCGCAAGACAACCGAAACCTCAAATCACGCTACATAATGTATTCATAGAATCGACTTTCAAATCGCCATTGAAGAGCAGATCAGAATGTACAGGGTGGCAGTTCTAAAAAGTGTATGGCGTGCTGCCGCACTTTGAGCTGGCAAGAGTCCAATATGACTTCGAGTTTATTGGCCAGTTGTTTGGCAGACTTGAGCAGACTTGAAAAGCTGGCAATGCATGATGCATCGACTTCGCAAAAGTTGGTGGCCTTGTTGCGCTCGCGCTCACAAGAGAGTGAACCATCTGAAGTGTCTGAAAGTCTTGACATGAAGATCCTTAGCTGCTGGGATTCCTTGGGTGAAGACTTCAATCGGCAAAGATCTGAGGAGTACTTGCCAGAGGAGCGGCGAGCTCTCTTTCAAGCTGCTAAAGAGGCGATCCCTTTGCTGGTGCGTGAAAACACGGTGATGGAGAGCAATTTGCGTGAGTACGACTGGGCTCTCCAGCTCACCTTGCAAGAGCTCTTCCGCGTGAGGGGTGATGCCATTGAGCTCACCACGCTGATGAAGCAGGCCACGTCCATCAAGCGCTACCTACGAGCGGAACATCAGGCGCAGCAAGAATTGCAAGAAGAGCAAATGAGACTGGAAGCCAGACATGAACACCTTACTGCACTTCTACATGAAGCCACAAATGCTCAGGATGAGGAACGAACCACTGCTTTGATCCAAGCCTTAGCCCATGAGAATAGCATCTTGCGCTCCATGTTATTCCCCAGTAAAGAGGGTGAAGAGCCCTTCGTCGACTCCCCACGGCGAGCTTTGAGCTCCAGTCGTGGGAGTCGATCTGATCGAAGGACCCTCTCAAGCCCTTCGCCGGGGAGTCCCATCGAGTTCCCCTTCTCCGAGGTTCCAGACATTCCACTACCTCCTTTGCCACCCATGCCACCACCCTCGCCGCCCTCGCAGCATCGTGACGTGCGATAGGAAGCCAAAAAGCCCGCCGGCGATGGGGGGTGATGCCGGTGGTGGACAGACCTTGGTGATATATACGTGATTTATATTATTGTACGTCCTCACGGCAAGTGTTTCTTACTTCCTTTCCTTCACCGCATGTAGCCTGAATGGGTCCTGCAGAAAAAATATAAACATGTAGACACATATGTAGAACATTGTAGTATATATCATTATATTTATAGTTTAGAATGTTGGGTTTGTCCTATTGCCTGAAAACGTCAGTAAACAATGATGTTTTTTCATCCACTGTTACTGGATGTCACTGGTAATAGGATAGACGATAGACCCACAGTATAGAAACTTACTGTAAATGGGCCCCAGGAATTCCAGTGGATTCCCTCTTCCATCACGGCCGCAGGAAGAGAGCAAGCTAGGGACCGACCCCTTGGACGAGGCGCGCGGCAAGTGGGGCGGCGCGGCGCGCAAGCGCGCTTGCTTCTGTCACATGGTGCATGTAAACCAACCACTGTGACATGTTTTTATCCAAGAACAGTTGCGTAACTCTGCAGAACTGGAGTCCAATTTGTAGAAGAGGGGAGTCAAGCTCCTGAAACGCGTAGTACCCCTGGTACATAGTGGGGTCATGAGCTTCAATTGCCTCAAAGCTATCCGACTCAAGCCACTCAAACTCAGAGGGTCACGTTCACAAAAAGAAGCGATAACACAGCAACGGCAAAGTCAAGCAGAAGCTGCCAGTGCTATAGCAATGAAGCACATGTGTATATATATAGTATATTTACAGAGACTATACGAGGACACCAAAGACGTACAGAACGACAAAACCCTATAACTGACGATCATCATTCGCACGATCCGCAAGCTTTCATGCTCAGTCCACAGGTTCAGGACTTGTGACATGTTGTAAGTTGGGATGTATGGTTCGGACGTGAAACCGACATCCCAACTTGGTACGGACATCCGTCTTCGCTCGTGGTCCACGGCTCTCTCGGCTTCTTGGGGCCTCCGCTCGTGGCCATCCGTGGCAGGCCGTGATGTGCGAAAGGCCCGGTGAGTTCGGTCGAGCAGGGTCCAGCACGGTCCAATAGGGAACCAGGCATAGGGAAGCGACCCAGGAAGAAGGAGGACTGGCGAGTGAAGAAGTTCCGGGCTCAGTGCTGAATCGAAGTTCTGGTCCATAGTGTGAATGTATTCATTGGAATGTATCAAAGGGCGTTTAGGTGTTTCCTTTAAAAACAAGAAACATTATTCCATGAATTCTCCATCCTTAGCCTTCTGAGCAGCTGCTTGAACGCTTGCAGAACGCTGCCGGATTGTGAGGTCTGACGGACCAACGACCTTGCTGAGCTCTGCATCCAGAGCCAAAGGTGACGACCACGGTGGTTTTTGGGAGTGAACCGCCGTGAACGGACGTTGGAAGTCGAAGCCTGAGAAGAAGCCATTGGAAGTCGAAGAACAATGATCAGGAAATACCCCTAGGGATCCAAGTACCTTCTCAGAAGGTACTTGGACCCTCCAACCCCACATAGCGGTGTCTCCAATCACCTGCTGAGAAGGTACTTGGATCCCTAGGGTACATAAACACATCCACCAGGTTTCCCCTTGGTTCTCAGGACTGTCACTGACATCTCAGGGTCTTTGGAGCTGCCTTGTTGTGGCTAGCTGCCTGTGTTGATCTTGGAATGAGGATGGATGAGATTGGTCCAAACTCCTCATGGGCAAGCGAGAGCCCAATGTAACAGGGGCCAGGAGGTCTGAAACCTGCTCTCATCCATCTCTGAGTCGTCTGTCGGAGAGGTGGGGACTGGCCAAAGTCTAACTGTTGCACGTCATCTTGCGACAACAGTTAGACTGAGTCAATGAGAGTCATATATAGAGTTAAACATTCTGCAAAACCTAATCCCTGCTAATCCAGTTTAGATGGAAAGATCCCACAGTTCTTAGTGTAATCATTTGTGTATTGATTGATCTGTCCACAGTAATCGTGCCAGGACGGGGGTTGCGATGGTGCGTCAAGGCGCTGGCAGTTCCAAGGGCCCGAGAACGCTGCTTCGGCGCACGTCCTTCACCCCGCTTCTTCGGTCTCCCTCGGTCTTGCTTGGTTTTGCGATGCCCGGTGAGGCTCCAAACTCTGATGCCGTTGCAGCGGATGTGCAGCCTGCTGGCAACGTGACGGACGAGGCCGTGGGGAGCATCGATCCACAGCTGAGCTCCACGGTCTGGGACTGGTTTGTCATCATACCTAGTACATGGCAGTGACCGTCTTTGTGAATCCCGGACTTTAGAAAAATCAAGGAGGCGAGGTGTAGTCTTTTGGGCCAGAGGTTCGTCTCTGCAGGGTGTATGTTGGTTTTCGCAACCCTTGGGTTTCTTTTCAGATGTGGCCTAAACGTTTTGCCGCGCTGAGTGTCTTTGAAACGTCCCACGATTCCACTATTCAACGCGTCCTCATGTCGTGGGGCATCACGAGGCGACCAACGTGCACGACTCATGACGTGGTGAAACGCGTGGTGAATACGTGGTCTGAATGACCAGCTGACGAGTCTTAGACACCCCAGCTGGTCAGAAATACGTGACTCTCTGGGCCAAGTCCTTCGCGCTTTGGTCAAAGCGATAGGTCATTGAGCATGAGATGGCCAATTCGGTCAAGGCGTGGCAGGTGCAGTCGCACGCTGGGCCAGGGTCAGATACCTTCGTACTTGCAAGATCTTGCAGATGATTATCGATTAGATGAGACCAATCGCTCGCAACGTTGTTTCCAGATTGATCCTGCACCGCCTAGATCAATGTGGAGGTTTGGACTTGGACGAAGTATTTTTAGGGTAAGCAAGCAGGGCAGTTGGGCCAATGGCATTCAAATTTATCAAATAGTTTAAAGATGTCCCTTTGAAACCCGTGGTTTGGGCTGGCTCAGAAGGGCTACGTTTGCGGCGTGCAAGGCGGAGGAAGGCCCCATGCAGGATGTTGGGAACGCTCGCTTCGATAGGTGCCACGAAACCGTGCGGGCATGGAGGGTGGTCGGTAGCTGGCAGTTGAGCTTCAGAACATAGCCAGACTGAATGTGAGTTTTTTCTCGGTAATGGCTAATGTGGCCATGAACATGCCTTGGAAGTTATTGCAATTGTTTGGCTCTGTCGAAACCTGTTGCAGAGATTGTGCGACATGATGCAGCACGATGTTGTCTCTACATCCTCAACCACCTGTTGTATCAGTCAGTACAACACGGGTGCTTCCAACGGGGATCATCGGAAACTTGGCCGGATGTGCGAACAGCCTCCAACGCAGGTATGGAAAGAAGAAGCAGTGTCAGTTCATCATCGGAATCGAAGAGGACGCAAACCAGCCAGTTGTTAGAAGGTGTCAGCGGTATGACAAGCTAACTCTTTAAGTTTCCTGAAAGAGGTACCAAGCAGAGTGGCCTAAGCAGATCTAAGCAGACTGTGCAATTCGTACCAAATCAGGTTGCATCTCTTCATGTTCTCCACCACGGTTGCCCCTGAATCGATTCAATTTCATGTCTGGTCAGTTTGTCTCATTTGCCTTGAGGACCCTGTTTTCCGGGTTGGGCGCCGCTTGCTGGGCCCCAACGGGTGCGGTGCTGAGACGCTTCGCGACGCTTCGCGACGCTTCGCCGCTCGCCGCCGACGACGCCCCACCGCGAATGGCCCAAGGTCGAACATGAAGTTGATCGCAGCGAAAACAGGCGCGAAGCAAGATGGGTGGATCATAGCCCTTAAGTTATTTTGAATCACGGAAAACCGATGTTTGTAGCCGGCTATACCAAGCATTGACTCGGTGTTGAACATTGCGTTCAGTTTAAGCCGCTAATTTGTGCCTTTTGCTGCAGGATGTCGGTTGCGGCTTCGCGGTAGAGGTTCGTGGTTCTTGGAGGGCCCTTATCAGCAGGCGCCACAGGGAAGGCAGATGTTGGTCCAGCAGTGCTTTGCCATGATCTGCCCATCCCTGCATCGCTAGTTGCCACATGGTCGGTTGCAAGAAAGAGAGTTGGATGTTCAGCAAATTGCAGCAACATGTAACTACTGTAATTAATCCATTTTAGTTTATTTGATATACATCCATGTCATGCACTGGAGCACAGGAGCAATTATGAGTTCACAAACTTGAAGCTATCTATAATTCTTGTCAGCCCAAATTTAGGCTGCTTGTCTATTATGTACCAGGACCCTCCAAGGGGTGCCCTGTCTGGAAGCCTATAGGTGGTGTGGGGTAGTCCATTGGACACCCCGACAGGAGGGTCCAGCTGCCAGGAGTCCACGGATCCTTTGATGCTGTGCGTCAGCTCGCGGGGGGTCTGAGAGCACTTTTGTTTTACGTCGTTTCTAGAGCACTGGATCATCAAATTATGATCAAATGATCCAAGCAACCTCTTTAGAAAGTTGTTTTCGCAAATGTCAACTGAGTATTTCCAGTATATATATACTGGATTTTACCAGTACACTGTATTACAGATTATTGTACCAGTATATTGTACCAATACTTTTGGGGGGGAGGCTCTACCAGCAATATAACTTAAATTCGGGAAAGGTGACAGATCTAACCCCTGCTGATCTAAGTGATGGATTGGTTCGTTCGTTCGGTACAGGCTGTGGCGCATCCTTTTGGCCGGAATTGACCGACGCAGGCCATCCGAAGCGGATCACTCCCAAGCGATCCGTCTCATTGAGGAGTTGCCGGGGAGCCGAACCATCGGGGCGACCGGAGTTCGGACGGAGTTCGGCGTTTCGGAGGGACGGAAGCAGCGAACGGATGTGTTGGGGACAGGGCATTTTGTGGGGAAGATGGTGGAAGATGGTGGAAGGGTAGAGATGGGAACGCCCAACTTGGGCGATTCAGCTTGAGGAACACTCTTTTGGGAGGTCATTTGCCATGGCATTATTGCTTTCTACGTCAGTCGGCAGAGTGAACCAGAAAGTAAGAGGCTATGCTGGACGAGTGAACTTGCAAGGCACAGTCTGCGGGGAGTTGGTGACTCCATGTCAAGACCCCTGACTTGAAAGAAGTATGTCATATGAATCATATGAGTTTAAGGTCGCTTGGGATATCACTGCTGAACATGCAGGTCACTTCCATTTGCATATACTGTACGTGTTCATGTTCATCGTTTGAGGCTCCTCTCAGTCTATGCCGAGTTCCGCACCTTTTGCAAGACAGTCGCTTGGCCAGATCTTGTCGTGTGACCGTTACGGGTGTGACTGTATGGCGCCCACTCTTTTCATGAGAAAACGGGGCAGGTGAAGGATGACAACTTGAATCAACTGACATGTCATTGAGTCATACCTGTAGAATCCTACATATATATAGAGATTATTAGAGATGTATTTGTACAATTGTAGCAATATTGTAACACATATTGTAGTATTGTAAGTAATATCATGCATAATACACATTCAATCAGATGGAGCATGGAACGGCAAAGAAGTAGTTTCCGATTGGCACAAGGCAGCCTTGAAGTCACACCTAAGGAAGGCTGGACTGTCCCTGATCTTCGTATCCGACGCAATGTCCAGAGCCCAGAGGAGCCCAAAGCCAGGAGCCGGCAGCTTCCTTGTCGAATGTTCTCTAGCCTGTGATGGTCAACAGCGTTGGGTGTTTTGCACGTCAGCCGCACCTGCAACTCGTCGGTCCTGCAACTCGTCGTAGATGAATATTCCTCGTTAGCCGAGTGTATCACCCTCCGTGTTTCTTAGGTCCGACCCCCCAAGCTGCTTTGGTCTCATTTTGACTAAGGAGGGGGCGCGCAAAGGCGCCCGGTGAAGAGCAGCCCGGCATCGCACTCAGAAGGCTCAGAGACCTTGACTCAAAGAGTGGCAACTGGCCCAGTTCTTCGCTGGGCTTTTCTCGACGGGTGTTGCTTTTCGGTCTACATTCTTTCTGCCGTATGCCATGCCAGTGTACACCAGCTGTTGAATCAATGATGTTCAATCTGCGTAGAGAACTTGCCCCGCTTTGAGACCCCAAGGGGAAGCTCGACGGTGCGAAAAAAACACCCCCAAGCAAAGAGGTTCGCACCGAGGCTCAGTCGCTGTGCAAGGCCGCACCGATCGGTCTAAGGCGCCGGTCATCGAAGGTGTTGAGGGTCGAAAAGAACCTCCACATTCGGTTGGGGATCCAATGCACTCGACGTGATGGATTGGAGCCCAGCACTTTGGGCCAAGTTCCGACACTTGAGCGGGGGGGGCAATATGGGAGGTGTGGGGGCTGTTCTTTTCGAAGACCAAAATGCTGAACCCCTCAAGCTTCATTCACGCTGTTGTGGGTGTGTCTATCACCAGGGAGACCCTCCATCTTTTTCTGGAAGATGCATTGAAGGCCATTGCACGAGGGTTTCCCCTGCGTGAGACACCCTCTTCCTTATTATTGCTGGTGTTTCATGGCCCACCCTGCTCCTTGGTGGAACAGAAGGCTCGTGCAGTCGAACAAGTCGCCGCTTATGCTTGCCCCACCAGTCGGGCAAGGGGATGGCCCACCTGGGCAAGGCTTCGGGTGTATTTGAAGTGACTGACTTGGTTTCCATGTCATAAATATTTTGAACAGAATCAAACAAACCTAAAGGTGGCAAATAGAACACCAGCTTCCCAGCCACATGGAACCACCTGATTCCCCACGGGTCAAAAGTTGGGAACTCCATTCAGGAATATTCAAAACAGGGCGGTCCTGCGGTATTTTTATGTATGTTTGGTATCTAGCAGCCTAGCTGGATGATTCTTGCAGCAAGCACAAGCAGACAATAGAAAAGAACATTCGTTGCATCCTGTCGCCCAAAGAAGCATGGCAGAGATTTTTCGCATCTCGCAACAACACACTGCAGTTTTCGTGGTTGGACCAAACGCCTGCCCGGTGGCATCCGTCATTTTGGAAGGTTGAAGCATTGGCCAAGGCATTCGAGGCCAAACCAACTTTCCCCGGGGCACCAGCCATGTTCGAGGTTGACACATAGGTTTGTTCGACTCTCCCTTGAAATTGCTTGAGAGAACGATGCATTGTCTATATGATTATGTTGCATTGCAACAGACAATAGTATGACTCGTGGTGCTTGGCACGCCTAGCCGTGTGACCTGTCAACCCGACGACTGGCTGATGACCCTTGCCCTTTCTTTGCTCCCACTGTAAACAGCACAGGCCACTGCATTTGTACATAGCCACAGCATCCTGCTTGTGGTCCGCTTGGAGTTTACATTCGCTTCAGTATAGATCCATGTTCGATGCTTTCTGCTTTGCCCAAACATGTTGAAACTACGTAGAGTCTTTGGATATCTCAGCAGACATCAGACCAACAATGATGTGAAGATGACCTTCCACGTTCGCGAGTCAGGGAGGGCTGCCCTCCTGTGACACGCCAAACACCGTTGCGCCGATGGCTTTGCTTCCAGCTACAGCTCAAAGGACGGTTGCTATAGAAAGCTAGAGAACAACAATTTCAGCGTGTGTCTCGGTAGTCACATGTAGACACTACGGGCAGTGCTGTTGAAAGCATAGGCCTTTGTTTAAGAGAACAAGTCGTTGAATCAGTGCTTTTTGCGCCGTGGATGAGCGCCGCGGATGCAGAACATCGGCACCAGAAGTTTCCCTCGGGGCGTCTTTGATGACGTTCAGCCCTTGAGCCCCTAGTCGTTCGGCAGCTCGCACAGTCGACAACTCGTTGGTGCCAAGGCCAAGATGTATGCTTTAGGTCCTGGCACTGCCCATGGAGCTCCCCAGAACGTCCTTCATTTTTTCCCTGCGATTGGGAAGCCCACATTGATCAAGTCAATACTGTAGGTTTTTTTTTTCTGCTTTGTTTTTGCCTAATTATTCTTCGAAGAGGCTTTCATGAGAGTATCTTGGTTGACGATGATACAGGCCTTACTTCATTGCGGGGAATGTCCTAGACTGTCTTAGTGGAGATCCTTGATTTGAGTCACAAGTCATCATGTCATGTGTTTGGCCAGTATGGCTTTAAGAGGGGAGGAAGTGAGCTCCGTTCCTCAATGAGGACGCGAAAGCAGCAAGACACCAGAGCACTAGACGCTGTCGACAAAAAGGAACTAAGGGATGTCTTGTCACTTGTGCTTGGCAACTTGCAGTTGTGGCAGGCAACTCAGCAACTAGGAGCAAGATTGCCAGCCTATAAGACCAAATTGATTGGCTGGAGACCATGTTCAACCAGCGTTAAGCGCATGGAAGGTTCTTCTTGGCTCTGCATTTTGAGTGCCAAGTAGTTGGAGGCGTTCAAATCTCAAGGAAAGGAGTACTGGTCCGGTGTAGTTGCCCGGGTGGCCATCAGGAAGTCGGGATCCCAGTGACGTGACAGAGAAAACAAGATGCAACATCCCTCAACATCCGACATGAAACTCGTTGATTTGACAGGTGGTCGGGTACTGTAGCGGTTATTCTTCCTGGGATTGCTTGCATAAGACATGTTATTGGTTTCAACATAGGACCCCCCTAGGAACCTGGGGTTCTGTGGACTGGATGTGTGGATCGCGATAGAGTCTTAGAGTTGTAACTGGGTGAACATGTCAGGTAGTGAGGGCTGGCCATTGGGCTTCTGGCTATAATTTGTTCTCAATGCAAACTGGGTTTGCTTACATGTAGAGGCTATCCCCAGATCAATCACCCACTGGTTGCCACCAATGAGACCCACAGCTGTAAAATTTGTAGATCTCATCAAACCAGTCCTTTGGACGGGCTTCGGTGAGGCCATGGGCTCCAATTCTATGCCTGTGCGGATTGCCCATGGCTGGGCCATCGCTTGGTTGGACTTCTATCAGACCCCGGCCATCGTAACGGAAGGCGCCTTCTCAGAGGCCGGTGGTTTTTGGAGCTTGTGTGGCGTGTCAACCAGCTTGACGCGGCAAGTGGGGGTGAACAATTCTCGGACACAAACAACAAGTAGATGAATTGGATCCAATAGATTTTTGGGTGAATTGCACATGGGGGTTCTGACCCACACCCACGTGGGCATACAGCTGTAATTACATGCCATGACCTGGCAAGAACAAAGAGAGGGACTGGGTGGCCTGGTCTACCACCTTTACTACTCTATCACTGCCACAGTGAAACTACGCTTGTACCATGGTCTACGTATGCGGTGTGTGTATGTTTGATGTTATTTGTTTAACGTTCGTAGCTTCTTGCTAGTAGTACGGCGAGGAGCGCCTCGTTCGGTTTGCGTCCGATCGGCCGGGCTCGGTGGAGGTGAAGGGCTTTTTCAAGGAGCTGACTCGACCCAAGGAGATCGATTCTCTTATGAGGTGTGATGGAACATGGATATTTACATATATTTACTACGAGCAGACAGCTTGTAGCGCAATTGTGTGATTGGTGAGGCCATGATCAAGTTCTATGTTCCAAGTCATTTTTGTAGATAACAGTAGAAGTCTCCCGTATGGTGAATCGTGTTCAATGCAGAAGCTTGATGCACTGGAACATACTGGAACCTTGTGAGGAGAACTTCCCTCACAACCATGTGAACCCTCAGACCAAGGAGATCAACCGTTTGGGCCGCCCACGCCAGTGAGCTGTTGGGACAGACCCAGTGTTCTGTAGCCTTTTTGGAGCCGAAACTCATGTCTGCATCATCCAGAAGTCCAGAATTTGACCTGAAACCAAGTGAAGCATCTTGAGCTGAATCGGCTTAAGCGGACGTGTGCACTTGTGCTGTTCGCTCTCATAGACCAATGTATCATAGACCCTTTTGATGAGAGCATTCCTTGGTCGCTATATGTCGCTATCTCTCGCAGGTATGCCGAGCCCGGTGACACTTGGGCGTTTGCCGGCTGCAGCTAATGTTGTGGTTCGTCGAACGCCAGAACACCAGGAGAGCAGTGAACCACCGGCCGTCGGTTTGCGGGGGAATGTGGATGTCGGGAAATAAGAACAAGAGGGTTGTGACTACGCGTGTGTAGGAATGTGTTTGTCACTTTTTGTCTAAGCAAGGCTTTGTTCAAGCTTCAAGTACATAAGAGATATGTGACGATGTAGTGGTTGCCAGCAGTTGTATAACGAATATAGAACTCATGAAACGATATGCAACTGCCTAAGATATTTCGGACCGGATGGCCATGTCCCCGTCCAGCCGTTCCAAAAAAGAGTTGCGCAGCTTAGGGAGTCCTATGAAATCCATCCGGTGTTTGTTTTGTGCACAAGCTGGTTACGTCAAACACACCCTACACAAATAGATCACACAAACCAATGTGAAGGTGCAAGGTTGTGCTAAGTCAAATGAAGTGATGGTGAATCTTGTGTTTGCTGTTCAATGGATTGTTCATGCACCATTTACCCGGTCTCACCTCCCTTTTTCATGCAGAGCCATATAGTCGAGAAAGCAAGTGGAACATAGTGGAACCAATGGTAGTTGTTTTCTTTTTGTCTGAAGAATAACAAATTTCAGCATGAATCCTCCGAACCTGAACAAGTTTGAGCGGCGAAGGACTCATCGGCTGAGCTGGAAAACTCGATTTTGCGTTCACCGAGATATGAATGACTTATGTAAAGTAAGATGATGTTGAGCAAAGCATGTGACTCTTGCGGTGGTTGTGGTGATGCATTCAGCAGTATCCTTTTTAATATACGGAAACAGAAGCCTATCATTTATACGGCACTTGCGAGAGGAAAGAACGTTTGACCCGCCAGCTGCTGACATTTGTTGGTTTGGAGTTGCAAGGACAGGACCCATGTCCAAAACAGCCGTGCTCAGAAAGTCCAGGATGCGCTTAAGCAGGAACTTATATAGAACATTATAGAACAACACCTTTCCTTTGCTTTTGCTCGGGAGTGTGCTCCTTAGGTGTAGTTACGCTGAGAAGGCTTTGGTTGTGAAGTGTGTTCTTCTTCAAGCCTGTTTTGCCAGCAAACGTGCAAAGATGAGCTCTCCTTTGCTGCCTTCATCAGCCGACATTGGTTCTGTGGTGAGGGGCCTCGCGGTGGCAAACTGCCTGCAGGCTTGCAGCATTTCTGAAGCACCAGAGTATTTCTGGAATGGCTAACTGATATGAAGAGTTTTTACCTTGAAAAGCAGACATTATAACCAATGTAGAACCTGTACGAGCGGAGCTGGACTCTGTCCTTTGCCAGGCTTCCTCCTGTATCATTTGATATATGGGAAACTGTGTGGTCAGAACCTCAGCTGCTGGGGCCCCTCATCCGTGTCCCTCAATGCGGCGCCCCAATCCGTGTCCTCCCCCGGAATCCGACTGAATCCATCGACGGTCTGGTCTGCTGAAGCGGTGTGACGGAAGCTGGTTTGGTCGGCTGGTTGGAAGCGAAGCGAAGGGTATTCCGTTGGTTCGATCCAGCTCGGCCGTTGGTTTCTGAGGAGCGTCCCACAGGAGATTATGTGCATTTGGATGAGCACTTATTGTGGAAGGACACATCTTGATTGTGCAACATAGCTGGGCTTGGCTGAAAGAATTCTAATTGTCTCCAAATATCTCCAAATAGATTGGCTCCTATGGGTTGCACAGCTTTACAATGCCATCGTTCAGACAAATAATGAATCCGCCCCCCCCGGAAGAAAAGGGTCTACGTTATAGTCTAGAGTCTATAGTTCATGTCTCCTTCATCTCATCTATATCTCACCCCTATATCGCTCCAACTCCCTCCGTTTGGGGTGCGTGAGGATTCTGTCCCTACGTTTGTTTCGGATGAAATCGAAGCCCATTTGGGCATCTTCCAGTCAGTCCAAGTCAGTCCCGGCCCTTTTGAGCCCAGCCTTGACAGGACCGGGATCGCTTCCAGGGTGGGCTCTGGTGTGTTGGAGCTCCAAAGGCGCCCCGTGTCATTTGCCGCTTGACCTTCCAGTTGCATGGGTGTGTGAACTAGGATCCAGAAGCATGGTTCATGTGAGAACTTCACTTGCCCGTTCATTGACGGCCATTGTGTTCGAGAGCTGGTCCGGAGTCCCGAGTGCATTGTATTAACTTGGGTAGTGAAGGATCTTGGATCAAACAATGCCAAGAAGCATGTCCGGCAGCTTGATCACATGGTACGCTTGCCTCACACGGTACGCTGGGTTTCTTTGCGGGTTTGGTACGCCTGGTAGGACAATGGCAGCGCCCTGCCCTTCCACTTCCGAGCCCCTTGGCCGTCGATTTCACGAGCACCGATCCACCGCCGTCGCCGGAATCGCTCGGCGAACGAGCCAAGGTGCGATTTCAGCAAGGGAGGCAATTGGACCAAGAAGCCAAGGTACAGCCGGAGCAGCTTCTGACCAAGTCTCACCAGAGCTTTTCTGTTGGTGCTTGCAGAGGGAAACTGATCCTGTTTTGCTATGATCCATCATCTTGCTCAGTCAGCTATTTTTTGGATTGTATTCGAATTCATTGCCACATGTTCGAAGGAACAGTCGCTCAGTCGCTTTTCGGATGAGTGGCTTCGACCGTGAAGGCTGTCGAAGCTTTGGTGGAATTACTCTGGGTAGATCCACAGACTCATCAGGAGCATCGGGTGGGGATGGCATCAAAGCAGCACAAAGATTTCCTGAGCGAAGTATATTGAGGATATGCGGAGTAGATTTAATAACAGTAAGTTCATGTAAGTTATGCTATGAACAGTGCATTCCCTGCTACGAAGGATGCAGAATCAACTGAGTCTCTCTGCCGTCGTACGACAGGACGTCAGCGGCCACCTCCGTTTGCCCGGTGGCGTACAGGCTTTTCATCAGCCTTGATCATCCTGGATCGCCCGGCAGAAAATGGTAAGCGGTAAGGGCAATAAAACTTACCTAGGTAAGGCATGAGTACCAGTAGATCCACACACACACACACACATAGATGGAACCTCACACTCTCAGATATTTCCATTTGGACTGATGCTTCAACTTACTCAAGCATGCAGCATTGTCAAAACCGTTGGCTCCGGGCCACACATGAACACCTAATTCTTTCTCGCAGGCAACAGCAATGCGATGCGTTGCCGCCCTGAAGTCTTTGAAAGTCCATGCCTGAGGGCTGTTTGATGTTGTTTGCATTTCTCCGTCTCAGCGGCTATGTTGTATCATGTTGTGTCTAGCTGCTGTTTGTACTGCCAGCATTACCTTTTCATCAGACTTTGTGCTGGTTTGTTTATCATTGTTTGAAATCTGTTTTGGAAGTGTAAAGTGTACCACGTGACAGCATATTTAATATGCTCACGTCACAGCAAGGCTGCTCAGGACGATACTGCGATGGTCTCAGTCCGGGACAGCTTTTGAAGCATAAGCCGGCAGAGCTTAAACTTAGAAGATGGACCATGGAGTCCTTGGGATGTTTGTTTTGGTACGGTGAATGAACACCAAAACCGCAGCCTGGCTGCCCTTTACATGCCGAGAAATCAGAAGCACAACACGACCTGGTTGCTGAGTTATTGGACTTCGTGGTCCCAATCATCAATGTGATTCTGCATGCTCCTTGCATGGACTGCGCTTCCGGGGTGGATTCCGGGGTTCTCAGAATGGACCTTTTTGACTCACCGAAGTTTGAACTTAACTCAAATCATCTCAAATCTATCGGCATGGGTGGTCATGACGGCGACCGAAAAGCATGCCGCAGCATGCTGGTTCTTTGGTGCCTCCTTGTGGCAGAAAAACAAAAGCATGACAACCAAACGTGGTGAAAGATCTTTGCTCTCGACTTCGCCGAAAACAGGAGTGCCGAAAGCTGCTTTGGGAGAATTTTGTCCTCGACGCGGCACCTTGGCATCGAGCTCCAAAGCAAGAGATTGTCGTCCAAGCAATGGGGAGGCACCCCTACGGTCCAGTGAAAGGCTAGTATATAAGTTGGTTTAACATTGTTAACTCTACTCCAAGGAAGAATCTAGGAGTTGTGGTGTGTTAGAGTATGTTAGAGTGTAGACTTTCCCAACCGAAGGGAGATTGATTGAAAGAAGGTCGAAATTGGTTTTGTGCTGCAACGACGTGATGGAACAACCAGCTACCATTGGGTGAAAGGGACAACGGTTGGTTGACCTGGTCAAAGCAGGTGCGGAATCATGCCAGGTGATTGCGGGACTTCAGGTTTGCCGTCAAAGTGCGCTTTTATGTGCTTTTGTCACAACCTTCCCAGCTCCTTCAGATTGGTACTGATACTGGAGTTTAACGAAGGTGTCAATTGAAATACAGTATAATGGCTGCAGACCAGGCTGCGGTACGAAAGCCATTCATTCGCGGTAGCAAGCATTGCATGATGTTTGGGAATCTCTCTGAGGGTCGCATCTGGGTGTTTCTGCGTGAGGTGAGGTGCTGCAGAAGCTGAGTCCCATGATTTCGGGTCATCAAGTCAAGACTTGGGTGGTTTTGTTTCCTCCCCTGGACCAGTTTGGGGTGTTTCCTCGGGAGTTCCAAGGTCCAAGGGGCACCAAAAGCAGAGATCTCTCCAGTCTTGGACCGTAGAGTGGAGTGGACTCCCCGTGTTGTGGGAAACCTTTGCAAGCATATCATGGGAAGCAGCAAGTACCCTCACAGAAAGTGGTCGGTGAAATTTGACGAATGTTCGGGCTACTTAGCTACTTTACTTTGCTGATGAAAGATCAATTGGGTGAAATCAATCTGTTTGAGGTCAAAAACGATGTTGCCTTCGGGCATCTCTTCTTTTGGGCGCTGAGAGCAGTGGAATCTTCTCCGCAGGCAAGGTGTTGGGAATAGGTTCTCCGCAAATCGCGCAAATGTGATGAAGCTCACACGCATTTGTGTGTCCTTCAGAGATGTTTGAGAGCTGGGAACTGAAGTTAGTCACCCAACATAACTCATCAAATCTGACGTGAGCTGGTTCCCTTCCAGATTGTTTTTGCAACTACCCAATAGCTGGGCAGTAAGTTTCCTGGGAAAAAAGGCTTTCTTTGGTGGAGGCAGCTTGTCGTCTTTGAGGATTGCATTGAAGATTATTGAAGCCCAATGTGATTTGCAAGCGATTTTGGTGTTTGGGGGTTTGACCCACAGCCGTGAGCAAAATTGAAGAGGAGGCGCGTCACAAGATATATTATGTGTCACAAATCTTATCACTACAGATCGAGTGACTTATCTCTCGCATTGCACATCAGTGCTCAGCAAGCAACAAACCATAACAAACCAACCAAGAACAGTTGGCATCAACCATACGTACACCATACTACACCCTATTTGGGACGGCCGTGTTGGGTCCACCGAAACTCGAAACCGACCCCCCCCCCACAGGCGAAGGTAGCAGTGCAGACGGACGCCAAGCGACGGATGCATGCAGTGCAAGGCACCATTTGCTCCAAGGCGGTCGGGTCGAGTCGGTCGCGTCGGGTAGGGTCGTTGACTCGGCGGATGGTGATGGGCCAAAAGGAGGATAGATCATATGGCGAAAGATGCTTGATAATCCCCGTTTGGGAACCAAACAATGTGGAACAACCTAGTGTGGATGAGGGATCTCAAAAATACATCTCTTCATGAGGAGAGATTTCAAAGTTCAATTTTCCCGTCATGAGATAATTGAATAAGCAATAGGACCATGGGATGAGGGATTGGTGAAAATAAAGGGGGGTGAAGCAAGGGAAGAGAGGCGATTAGTCTTGCAAATTCTTTTGGCGAAGAAGTTGGGCCAAACTAATCGGGGGGTTCCTTCATCTTGTTCACATTAGCTGAAATTGGATCCAAGCTGATGCATGTTCAGGTTGCAAAGAGTCTTTCATAGATTCCAAATTGTGCAGATATTCTCCAGGCACAGCTCAAGCTCACGCTTCGGCATCTCAAGGAGGCAGGGTTGATATCCCTTTTTCCTGCTGAATAATTCCCTGTCCAGTGTATATATATAATATATACACATCAAATATCATACATATTGGCTTGAGTAAACAAAAATTCAATAATTGCCTCTCGGACCGTTGTACAAGGGTTCTTACCCAAAAATGTTCCCTTTGGTATCCTGTTTGACACATTTCACTTGCGCTCGCAAGTGGGATTTTCAGAAGCTTGGATCCTTGGTGCTTGTGCGGGGAGATCTTGTTTTGTGCAAAATGCAGAGGAAGCAACTTAAAAGTATCAAACAGTTGCATAGAGGTTTGATTTCAGATACTGCCTGGCTCAGAGTTTTTGTTCCGCTTCTGAACTGAAAGCTGGCTCCCTGGTTTGGACCAAGCTATTTGCAACTGCTTGACTAAAGGTGTTGGACCGTGTTGGATGATTTGTTCTTTACAGTTTCCAAAGTCCACCATGTCCACTTCCAAATTGGATGCACCAGCGACTAGATCCAGAACTCGGGAGGAGACTTGTTGGTGTCTACGTGTGTTTACAACGTTCACATATCCGATCAAGCATGAAAGAAAACATATTCATTGCTTTCACCACCCACAACAGGACACCCTGCTGGTGACCATGATTGAGCGTTAAAATAGATGCGTTGTCATGCTTTGTCAATGTTTATTTTCGACTGACGCTTCTCACCAGTCGCCTACAACAATGTATATTTATACCAGGACCTTCCAAGAGGTGTGTATACACACAGCCTCTTAGAGCCAGAACTCGGGGTGTCCCAAAACCCACCGGACGAACGGTTTCGGTCCTGGTAGATCCATGTTTCAGCATAGCAACTCTTCGGTTCGTCTCTACGGTTCCTCAAAGCAGGCCAATGAGGCGGTCCGGAAGGGCGAGCGACTCCCCGAGGCGAGGGACTCCGTCGGTTTCAGAAAGCGAAACCCCGCGGTCAGTTGGTTGATGTAGCTTGTGGATTGGCTTTTTGAATGCGGTTTCATTTCAATATCTGGTTGTTATTGTTCAATTTGAATGCGGAAGTTGTATAGTTGGTGTTGCCAACAATTATATGGCCATAGAATCGGCACCTAGTCATTGCATTACAGGCAATGACGACGACCAAGTTCCCCGACAAATGAGGATTGAATTTGTAAGGTGGAGGTTTAGTTCACGTTTGAAACTGGCCGGTGGTGGTTTTGCTGACTTTGTTGGTCTGACTGATTGGCTGCTCGGAGATCTGGCCAGTGGCACGACACAGAGGCAACCTCTTTGTTGAGGTTTTTATCTCTTCAGGTGACAATAACACATCGTTACCCCTGTTTCCCTTTAAAGCCCTTCTCCGATGTTTGACAGTGGGAGCCATTGTTGCTGTCATTTTGCTGTGCCAGGTGCCAAAGTCTGACCCCAACAAGGAACTGCACTCAGAAGGCTTCGCGCTTTGCACTGTTCCTCAGGAAGCTTTGAATTGCTCCACGAATCCGGTTGGTTGGAGAACTTGAAGAAGGGGTCTTTGCCCAACGTAGTGTGAGAGAAGATGTAGGCAGCTTGACGCGTTTTGTTCAGTTGAAGCTGAGGTCAGCCCGCTGGTCGATGTTTGTGAAAGGCATCGCTTTAAGAGAGCTTTCTTCTTGTGCTTTGTCATTGGTTGCCTCTTAGCTGTCATGGTCCATTGGTATAGTTTCTAAAAGCTCCACAGGAAAGAGGGAAACATCCGCTAAAGCCTTTGTACAAGCAGACACCACTTTCGTTTGCAACCAGACCAGACAGCAGGGAGTGCTGAGCGAGTTTTGTCGGCTTTGGCGAGTTTTTGACGTCTTGTATTCCTCAGCCTTTGACCGAACTGAGCCAAGCAAGAGCCGCACTGCTGTTTGCCAAAAGGCCTTTACTGGGACTTTGTGAGCTGTATACCATAGCTACAATTATGCTAATTACATTGCTGATTTCAAAGTGTGTCATTCCAAGCCAAGAGTGACTGGGCCAATTCGAGGTAATAATGAGAAGTCAGAAGGAATGGCACATTGCTAGATGTTGTCAAGGATCAGTGTTCATCGGCACCAACATAATTCTCAAACAATTTGTGTGTGGTTAGCGGGGCATCGCCATGACAACAGCTCCCAAGATCCATGAGATCTTTGTCGAGGATGAGGAAGGAGCCTTGGGGCATATGCCCTTTGAAGTGGCACATGCACTCTTGCGCTTGGGTTGGCATGAGTCTTGGTTTGCAGCCCTGGCGGCCCTTCCAGAAGGCCATGAGGAACGCCGAGAAAGCCACCAAAGCTTGGCTAAGGAGGCGCGAGAAACTTGGAATGTCCTGGCCATGCCCTGGGCTAGTGGGCCCCGAGGTGGCCAACGTGGTCGAGACGTGGTGGAGAATGTGAGAAGCTTGACACGCGCGGCCGCCAAGCATTGCGCTGCCATGCGCATCTACAAGGAGAAGGATGGGAAAAGCACTGTGGAGCTTCAGAAGCCAGCAGAAGAGCCTTATAAGGAGTTTGAGTCAGCTCGGAGCACTCTAAGTAACTTGCATGGCACACTGGCCCATGTGTTGGTTGAGCGCATTGTGGAGGTGGTGTGGGCTGCCGGCTGGCATGCAGCCAACACAGTTGCAAACATTGATGATTCCAATGAAGAAGGGGAGGAAGAGGAGGAGCATGAGGAAGAAGAGGAAGAAGGCGAGGATGGAGATGATGAAGAGGAAGATGAGGAAGACGAGGAAGATCGCTTTGGTGAAGATTATCCAGGTTCTTCGGATGACCCTGTGGAGGACATGCGACATCTGCTGGAGGCTTTTCACAACCTCTTTCACTCTGATGAGCCATGTCGGGGTGTTCGTTGCTCCTTAGCTTCCGAGTCCGAAGGTGTCCCTGCCCTTGAGACGATCTCCCGCGTTCCAGGGACCTGGGGCGACACTTGGACCGTTAAGGAGGGAGGATGTTCTTTGCCCAAACGGAAGACTCCTGATGGTTGAACGGCACCACTACGATCTAAGTGAACACTGAACACTCAGTTTTGAAACTCAGCAGCGACTGCTTTGCTATCACGTCACTGAGGATGCTGGCTTGAACTCAGTTCGACTAGTCCTTCCAGACTGGTCTGGCTGTAGCGATGCCGTCGACAGCACCGCGGGCGACTTCCTGCTCAAAGCAGAAGCTCTGAATCTGCGAGTCATTCTGGAACTGCCGGCAGTTCCAGGACACTCAACCCACCTTAACATCTTGCTCGGTAGCTCAGCTAAGCATATACCAAAGGGTTATTGGTTGTTGTGGAGTCATTCATAGGCATTCAGTTCAGGCTCCAGTGCGGACCATCCATTTCTGCCACGCCCCCCAAAGTGCAAGGATCCAGACAGATGCATTCAGATACCCGGTACCCTGTATGTGCGACACGAGTTTTGTAGACCATGTTCCTGCAGCAAACTTCAAACAGCCTAGGCCTATAGGCCCTAGGCCCAGCGGATACTTCGCGCACAGAAAGAAAGACAGACAGAAAGAGAGAATGTTGGTCACTAGATGTGTCGGGATTTTCCAATGGTTCATGTCGCAGGAAAGGCCTATGAAGATTGGCTCCGTGCTTTATCACGGTCTGTGCATCCCATGAAGTGCGTCGCTCGCGCTGCAGATCACGTTTTCACGCATGCGGCAGGGTCGAGCCACCAATACCCTTTTCGGAGTATCGCAACGTCCAAGCAGAGGGATGTGTTGGGGACATCAACACACATCCGGTGACCACTACAGTAGTTTCAGATTAAAAGGCCCAATCCCCAGAAGGTGGTTTATATGGACCCCGGACCCCCATCTAAAAGACATTTTCTGGTGGTGCCATCTACTCTGAAGCCACTGTACCCCTTTGTCCAAGAGAGATCCTTTGCATCAGATGTTCCATGGAGCTTCACGTGGAACCGCAGACGTGCGGCCAGGTGAGGGGTGTAGCTTTGCCCCGAATCCAAGATGCCTTCCGTGCGGCTGGTTTGGTGAGTGCCCTGCGGCAAGGTGGGCTCACACAGGCAGGGACCCGCGCGGGCCCCCGCAGCGTGGTGAAGGGTCGTTCAACGAGTCTGTTGCAGCAAGGTTGGGGTATGGCTTCATGTTTGGAGCGTCAAGACAGTCCAAAAGTTCGGAACATTCTTGATTGTTTTGCATGGCGGGCTCTGAATGGCAAATGGCAAACGGAGAGTTTGGGGGCCAGGGCAATTGGCTTTTGAGCAGACCAAGCATGCGATAGGGAGGTCAATGTGAGAAGCTTGGTCTTTATTTGTATCTTATCTGTGGGACTTCTCCAACAGGACCGGTGTGCCTGCTTCCTGCAGCTGCCTGCGGGAAAGATTGAGGAGTGTCAAGAGAAGTTGTATAAGAGTGGCTCAGCAGCAATGCTGCTTGACAGACTTTGGGTATCATTGAAAGCGACATGCCACACAAATGGGACAAAGTGACATCCTGCTCAGTCGGACCTTCAAAATCCCAAGGCACTCTTCTAGCGAAACAGGTAAGCTGAGTGTGTTTCCAATGGATACCATCTCAAACATTAAGCATTGTGTCCTTTCCCCTCATCAACGCCCAAAACTGGCGGTCCTTTGGGCCTTCCCGCTTCCACTCTCCGAGACGAGGTGATTTGGACACGGAAGCGGCCCAGCTCCCCTTGTGGATTTCCGATGGCCACGTCCTGATGGAGGCCGTGGCCTTTGTCTGGCCGCCCACGGGACAAAACGTGGGACAGCGAGCTCCGAGCTGCCAAAAACACTGAGAGCGGGTGTGGATGTCACTGAAGTTCAAAGATTTGAAGTTTGGGCCAATTGATGTCATTAAAAGGCTTAATTGTGCTTAGTTAGGCCCATTAGCTTGTAGCTTGTTGTGCACATCATATCTGGAATCTAGAGTTTGCCTGCCTTGAAAACCCCGTGTTCACCACCACCCGCTGATTGGATGAGAGTCTCAAAGATGCCAACCGAAAGGGGTGCCGGTACGAGGCTCCAGCACATGTACAACTTCCGGAAGCTTGGTTCGCAAGTGACGGTGGGAAAGATTGTGGAAGCTGCAAGAGAAGGGCAGCCTGGGTGTGCGCAAGATGTTAGTAGATGCTGCTGGTTGCTGGCCTTGTACTGTTTGTGCTCCCTTGGACAATGTCAGAGCATATTAGATATATAAGTGTGAACGCCAATCATGGATCTTTGCTGTTTGGCATATATAATATATATATATATATATGAATGCATGTGATTTTAATAAATTAGAGTGCTTCTCCATTTTTTTGGCCGAAGTGTCCATTCCTCATCCTGTAATGTGAAGCTGGCTCTATGAGATCCAAGAATTGACCGGCCCGGGCATGGTTATTTTTATGTAGTGATACATATATATATATATACAGAGAGAGAGAGAGAGATCGAGCTAGAGCCAAGGACAAGCCAGAGTCGCCGCAAGTGATTCTGGATGCGGCTTCGGCACTGTCTGAAGCTCCTTGGACCCGTACAAACGAGTTTTCGCACATTGATATACACTTTCTAGGTGTTCAGAGTCTCCCGCACATCTCAGAAAGCAAGCGGGAAAGTGTCATTTGCGTGCAGGATCATGCCCAGGTAGGCGAGCTCCAGCATTTTGGAATCCTTCTACATTTGGCTTGCCATTAATATACCAAGGAGCACAAACATTTGGACCTCGTCAGCAGCTGGAGCTTGACGATTCCAAGCTTCTTAGACTCAAGAGGATTTCAGACGCTACAAACCGAGCAACATAGGCTTTGCTACTCATAGCTACTTCGACGTGTGATGGAAAAAGGGGAAACATGGGGTTCACCCTGAATGTGTTTGCATCATTGGTCAAATCCAGGAGTTCAGTGTTCAGCAATCTAAGTTGTTGGCATCCATGTCTTTCTTTCTGCCAAAGGCAGAGGTGTGCTTCAACTTGGGAGGGGCCCTAGACGTTTCTGAAAATCGAAGTCACGTCGTGCTGTCGTGCTGAGGTCCGCTGCCGAAGCTCCCTCCAGGTGCCAAAGAAATTGAGACCATTGGATTCCAATTGGATCGGAGCACCAGGTGTGCGAAGAAGTCAACCGTTGTGGAGGTGTTTTGCTTTTCAATAGGCTCAGCGAGGGAAATGGCAACGCTGCATGAGATCGACACGTTGTTTTGGTCGGTTTTTTTGAACGAATGCAACATGCCAAACAAGCCAATTAGGTCCTAGGCCTCTCTAGGGCTCAACGAACAAGGTGGGCGGTGCAACCTGGATGGTGCAACTATTGAGTGCAAAGCACGGATCAAAAGACCTACAACATGTGGATGGTGCCAAGATGTGCCAAGTAGCGGCTGTGCCAAGGCTCATCCAGGAGTTCGCGCAACGAATGGTGGCATCCATGGAGGTTCGTGACCTTTCTTGCATGTCAGGTGAAGGTATACAGCATTATACGGTCCAGTGACATAGACATTCGTCTATGTCTATGCAACATGTTCACTGGTAACTCTGTCATATGAACGCTGGGTAACTGAGTCATGCTTCAGGTGGCTGCACGTGGCTGGTTCTTTGATTCATGGAATGCCAAGGGCGAGCAATCCTTACAAGCTTGCTTGGAAAGGCAGGGATCAAGGGAGGATTGTCCTGCCGCAGCAATCACACAAATCGCACAAGGATATATAAACATCAGCTTTATTATGTTGGAGAACTTGGGTATTTGCACAGATTGGGAGTCACGGTCTGCACCCAGATGTCTCAGGGGTTGGATCAATTTGGCCGCCACGGAACAGATCATGTACCCCCACGGCAGTCGCCAGCTCAGTGCTCCTTAGATCGTCACCGTGCGTAGCAATAGCAACAGATCAAACAGGCCAGTAGCTCATGGAGGGTGCCGCAGTAGTATTACCATAGAGGCACAGTCAATTAGCTAATGTTGATCTAATTGTTTTGAGTTTTCTCGTTCTTGAGTGAGTACTTCCGTTCTTGAGGTCACACCACAAGCTTGGTCTACTTACATGGATGCCTGGACCGCACGTGAGACCGCATGATGATGATTTGACATGCAGAGCAGACATATTAAGCACTATATGAAGTGCATCCACTATACCCTGACACTCCATGCATGGCATAGAAACCTGCACACCTAAATTGGGGTGATTTTAGGGTTCGATTCAATGTAGGTAAATATACATGGGTGGCTTGGGATAGGATCGGATAGGGAAAGCTTCCATGATGTCAAGCCTTGTGTTTAGCGCCGAGATGTGTGAGTTGCGAGATGTGTGGTGTCAAGCGCTAAGGATTTACCTGTTCAGGTTATGACTACTTGAAAGAGCCGTACTTCGTTTATCGACCGAAGCCCAAGAAAAAGAAGAAGGTGGGGTGGCTATTCAGTGTTTGGGTGGGTAGATTAAGGGTTTACGCAAATAGTGTCACTGGGATGTGCGAAGTTTTCGTATGCTTAGCCGTTGGTTGCTGGAAGGCAAAGAGCAAGGAGGAGGATGAGGTTGGATGCTGGCATGTATCTTTTGGCGTCTTGTATTGGTTTGTTATATTTGTATGGCATTGGCAGGAGGATGAGATGGAGCCATTCCCTGGTTTGAAGGCATCTACAGTATTTGCATTGCTGTGCTTTTGGGAACTGCCTGGCATGGGGGCAATTTGACAGTTGAGATGATCAGAGACATTTGCTGCAGCTTGCAGGTGGTGTATCCGACTGCTCCAAAGAGAGCTATTACATGTTACCAGGACTGCCCAGAGTTGGCGAATAGAGCGCATACTGCTGGAATTGAGTGTGTCTCAACATTGAAATTGCATTGGTTGCAGGCTTCCCTTCCTTTGAGACATGCCCTAGTTGCTTTCTTGCTTTCAGGGGGAAATCCTACATGCCTGGCATGATTACATCACTGACCACGAGGCGGGTATGCGTTTTGACCCGTTGGCGTCGCAGTGGGATCCCCGCCAGTGCGCAGTTGGATAGTGAACTATATGTTTGTGCAAAGAGGTGATGAATTGGCCAAGCTCCAGAGAAATCGGGCGCCACCAGTGGGAGTGGATCGAGTGTCGCCAACGGTACAAGCGCAGCGACACGCGGAGCGACACGCTGAAAAGCTGGTTCCGCACGCAGGGCGACCTCGAGGACGAGCTGTCCTTGGAAGATCTTCAAGAGACAACAGCTCGAATACACGCCTTGCTCGATGCTGAAGCCGCCTTGGCGTCTTGGAGGTCAATGGTACGTCAAGAAATCAATAAAACATATCTCAATGTGCTGACGACAGATGACGATTTTTGCAGAAGCAGGTGTGTTTGATACACAATGATGGTTTGCATATCTCACGTGTAGTCCGAATGAGAAGGTTTCAAGGCTGGACACTGACATGGAGCTTTCGCCCGAAGCTTCGCCCCCCGGTCGTGCCGCATCTCAGCCTCCCAGGTGGGTGGAAAGAACGTCTTTCTGGGCGGAGCTTCTCAAGGCTGTGGAACTGCCCTGCACATCGCTTTGACCTATAAGGGCGACTTGGGCGGCGTGATCGGCCGCTTGGTTCGGAGCGTTCGAGGACGGACGCGTCACTTGGGACGGGTTCTGGACCTTGGAACAGATGGGAGCAGGATAAGATACTTAACACATATATGTCTTGACTTGACTTCTCTTTTAGGGAATGGGGGGCTTTGTCATCATGTACTGTCACATACGTGCAGAACCTACAACTTGTACATCGATGAACGTTGTGTAAGAGAGATTGATGCAACGTCGCAATGTCATGTCCTCGTTGCTTTGCGTGTCTTTGATGATCTCTTATGTCAAGGCACAATGGGCCATTTGTTGACCTGTACACCAATCACACCTGAGTGGCTTGCAAAGAAGATCCCAATTTTCGTGCAACTCGGTGTGAAAGTTCAGGCGAATTGATTCGCCTATTGGACGGATGATCCTCCTCAGTGGAACAAGGCATGGCATGTTCGACCCTCGTATGTTCCACCTCACTCGCAGGTACAACGGACTGGATGACACCACCATGAAGTGGGAAGAGTGGGTGAAGGACACCGGCTGAAGCCTTCAGCCTTGTCGCATCTTGTCGCCCAGAAGCCTTGTCGTTTGCCAAGTGATTCAACTGCAGACCGGTCTTCAACAAGCTTAGTGCTGCCTCTTTTGATGGGTTCATAAAGCCCGAGGGGTGCCGTCCGATGCATGTAGATCCAAATGGCAGGCGACTTGGCAGCGGCTGCAAGATGCCAAAGCAGACATCCGCATCGTTGCTTTGATACGAAGCTGGCAAACATGTTCTCGAACATTGGCGGCTGTGCAACTTCTGCTGGTCCCCCCATCAAATGCCACAAACGGTGTTTGGATTCTTGATTATTTTTGTGACATGGTTGAATGTGTTTGTTCATGTTTGTTCCCAGGTAATTAACCACCCGGAACTCCATTCATAAACACCAAATAAATCTCACACGTTGTTCTTTGGACTCCATGGAAGTTCCGAGGTGTTGGACGAAGGCGTGGATCATGGGGAGAACGAGGAAGCTTGGATGAGGAGCTTCCTAACTGACGTGATGAAGACGGCTGCACCGATCTCAGTGATTGGAATAAAGCTTGTCAGCTTGTGCCCACGTTATTGACCCGAACTGTGGCAAACATGTTACTGTAAGAATTAATCTTCACCTTGACAGTTTCGGACCCATCATTATTGCCTTTGACACCAGCTAGAAACACTGTTCGACTAAGGGCAAGGCCAAGAGCAAAGCATGACTTCATGCTGTATATTGCTGTACTCTCATGTCTTGTACATTGTACATAGCCCCAAAACTCTGGGCGTTCGTTGCCTCGTTCCAAAAGTCGCGGCCCGTTGACATCAGCCAGCCGAAGAGCATCCGAGACCTCTCCATGTACCCATAAAGCAATATGAAACATGAAACATCCTAAAAGCATGTAAAAATCCCTTGAGACCCTACTATATGAGGCCCTTATTCATGCACTTCTTGAAAGCCCGCTCCTTGACCAGCCCGCGCCCCGCATCGGATGGAGGCTGCATTACATCGGCACGGAGATTGTGAAAGTTCGAGATCGACAAGAGCGGTCGAGCTCCAAATGACGCCCCCGCTGTGGGACATGGACATGGAAAGCCAACCACAAAGCCGACCACGTCTCCCGAAGCGGACAAGTGCGGTTCTAGTTATGATATTGTACGTCATAATGAACACCAGGCGGTGAAGTAAGAATGAATGAATGATTGGATGGATGAATAAATTATTACACCAGATTCACTCCTCCATTTGGTCAGACAAACAATACATTGGACCTTCTGTTGCGGCTGTCATAAGGTTAGGCGTTCTTCAACATCTCATCGAACAGGCTGGCCTTGCAGTACTTTTTTAAAGCTGTCATTGCGATGCCTGGGCTGACAGGAGATCAACCGCTATTTGAAGGACGATACCCCTGCAAACAGCTCAGAGAGATGCTCCGCAAGCTAAGAGCAGTCTTCACAAAGCACCAAGCTGAACTTTCTTCATGGAGCTAGGAATGGTTCTCAATTTGTGTTCCAATCAATGGGTCGGCAATCAATGCTTATCAAGTATGTCGTATATATGCATATTGTTATGCTAACTTTTTTCTTTACCAGAATAGTCCATCTCCATCCATCTCGGCCACCAGGTCCCGGCTCAGATGATGGCGCCCCACGGCGCCTCCAAGCCCGGACCGCCCGGGTCACCGCGGCGGTCGTCCGTCGCCCGGACCGCTCCGCCCACGGAACGCGGTCTTTGCGCCGAGGAAGCGAAGCGACTCGGTGGCGTCGATCCTTCGAGTGAACCGGAACGAGGCGGGTCGCGTTTCGTTTTCCTTTTTTTTTGCCCAGAAAAAGCGGCACGAAACACAGTCCCCTGTTCTGTTTCTTTTTTTGCGGTGCATGTGTTGGTGCATTTCTGGGTTGGGCGGACTGCGGATGGTGACATAGACAACAAGACTAACTAAGACATGTTATGTTTAGATGTCAATGTTCCAGAGATGTGAAGACCGGATCTAAAGAGCCCGCCAGGCGCGAGTCTTGTCTTCCAAAGCTCGGGCACCCTACATGGTGCTCATGGAGGCCACCCAGCGCATTCACAACTACTCAACCCCAGACAATCCATGTGGGTGCGTTTTGAAAGAGGGAGACCCCTGGCCCAAATGGCTTGTTGAATGTTTTTTGGTATATTTGTCCCTGCTCTTTGGGGGGTCTTCCTAATCTCATACACATCGATGAATGGAACATTTGGTATGTTGCCACGTGTTTTGCAAGGTGGAAGATAAGGTGCCTGAAGACAGTCCGGTGAGACAAGGGTCGGGCTGCCCAGACGCTGCTTACTCCGCTTCGGCTCTTGGAAGCCCTACAAGTAGGTAGAAGGGCCACAGAATCCAACACAGACCTGGCCTGTTGGTGCGGCAGACCTCCATTTAGATTCACTTGAAGGGTGCTCTGCTGGGGCCTGCTGAGGCTGCTTCGTCGCCTTTGCGCCAGTCGGAGGTCGTGGATCCCTCGGACATTTTGAAGGTTTGGTTGATGTAAGCATTTGAGCCAGAGCCATGGAGGGACTTCCCAAAAACACATCTCGAGATCTAGAATTCTATAGAAGATTATAGAAGGTATATAATTTGCTGCAAATCAATCTTTTTGGAGCTAGTTCAGAGAAATTCCAAGCCAGGATTCTTGAATGTTGGATCCGTTCCTCACCCTTTGTAGTAGGAATCCGGGTGTTCACCTCCCCCTTGGCCGTGCTAGGCCCGTCCAAGCCACCCACCACTTTTCTGCAGGCAGATCGGAAGATGTGGATTGTCCCATAAGATTTCTGGGAAGATGGAGAGGCCACACTCAAATGTAATTGGAACCAGTTGATCTAGTAATGTCATGTAATATCTAGTGTATCAGAGGGGCTTGCAAAAATGACTCTCACTTTTTTTTGACTCTCAGTTTTCTTGTTTCTGACGCTAATGATATTGATACTAAAGAAGAGGGGGAGGAAAAAGATGAAGATGCTCTCAGTTTTCCTATTCACCTTTGATTTGGATGCTAAAGCAGAAGGGGAGGAAGAAGACGATTTCTTAACTTATGATTCATAATATTATTAAACAGTTGAGTCTGAACTTGAGGACACATTAAAAAATTTAAGTGAGTCTTGTGGACCGTCAAGTCTGAATGGCATCATGTATGTATAAGCGAGTCTCTCTTGGAGAATATGCTTTGGACAGATAATCTAAATTTGAAGGTAATAAGTGATTCATGTAACTGACTATTTTGAACGGTTGAGTCTGAATGCTGCATTATGAATTAAAAGATGGCCTAGGGCGGGGGGAGGGGGGGTAAGGTGCCCAAAACCCGAAAACACAACATCCAAGAACAACTGAAGTGTCCTTATAATATGTCAGGATGTCTAGAATCACTCTATCATTGTTTATTAGTAATTTATTCGAAATGGAGCGAAAATATCCTTGGCACCAACTCAAACCAATTTGTTTAAAGTTTCTTCAGGTTTGCCATATTTTGCTGATAAAATAATGCTCTACCCCCACTCCGCTATCGTGATCTTCGCTCTTGATCATCGTCACTTTGGAGCTTGGACTCCACTCCAATCCATTCCACTCCATTCCGCCACACTCCACCACTGTCCCCAAAACATTGTGTATGTGCATGTGTGTCCAGCATGTGTATGTGCATGCGTGTCCAGCATCACTCCGCATGGACCATGCGAAAGCTACTGCATGGATCCAAAATGATGCTGGAACACTAATGGCGCCAATTTTGCCCCCCAGCACCGACACGAGGGTTCTTGAGTAGTCATATTCCTTGCCTGGCCCCGGGTCAGAGATTTTTCAATAACCCGGCTGATCCGTCAGGACCCCCCTAACGCGTAGCATGGGCGGACTTGGTTGGGGATTGGATTTGCCGACCTGGGGACCCCCGGGGCTGGCTCTGGCCACCACCTCGGGTGGAGAACAGGGATAGACTATGGCGCCAAGAGTCCTCTTTTCATGTGTCGCGGTGAGCTTGGGGGGTGAGAGCCATACAGTATCATACAGTATCATACAGTGTCTGTGTGCAGCACATGGCCTCCGCACCACTCCACTCCACGCCACTCCACTTCACTCCACTCCAGTCCAGTTCACTCCACCGCACTCCACCGATCTCCACCGCTTGCAAAAGGAACCCAGTAGCAAAAGGAAACATGGTTCTGGTATGTTCTGGTCATTTCTGGTCTTTGTTTTCCACTTGAGGGGTGTTGGAGTGAGGATGCATTTCCCTGGAGCAATCAGTGCCCCATAGTGCGCTTCGTGATGAAAAGGTCCCTCAACACAAACTGGGGGACACACACATGATATCACGTGATGATTTGGGGAGTACCTTATTGCAAGTCAGACAGTCTCATCCAGGCACCATCCACCCATACTGATCACGAGGTTCGTATCGGCTTCACATGGAGTGGTGGAGTTTGTTCTGATATGTTCTGAATTGTTCTGATGTTTGATTGATTTTGATTGTCTTGGCCTGTCTTGGCATTGTTTTTTCTGGTGGTGTGCATGTCTAAGCGCTGGTAAATGCTTTTCAACCAAATCCCCCACTTAGTGGCCCCCTTGATTGATGATTATTGTGATGATGTCAGGGTCATTCATACACTTGCTGAACATCGTGGCCCATCTGAGCCCTGTGACAACACAAAGACAAGTAGCGAGGGATTTTTTCAACCTGGCGTAGGCCGGTCCACTTTCTTTGATAATGGTGTAAAAGTCAATTGTTCTAAGTCGCCGGCCTTGCTGGCTGATGAAAAATCACACTCAGACTCAGACTCAGATTCAGACTCAGACTTGAGAAACATGCAAAGTGACAAGCGGCGGCTGGCGGCTGAGGAAGACTGAGTTTTGAACAATGCGGCCTTAGCGAAAAGAAAGGAACACATGAATCTGAAGCAAAGGTCCACGGAAAAGGAAAGCATGTGCCTTCAAACGTCATAGATGGTATACAGTATAATGCGCATATACACATGTACAAACAATTGACCATAACTTCCTGCGATGGCCTTTTTTCTCCACATCTTGAACGCTCTATGGGTGGGAATCTGTTTTAGATCCATTCCGTGCCTTCAAAAAGGCCCTAGAGGGTTCTTCACCATAGTCCTTGCCAAACCTTTGGAACTTTGTCATGGGGTGACCGCTGCTTTTTGCAAGTTCTGAATGAACACCCACATGGTGGATAACCCTTATTCCAGGCAAAACTTGCCAATTAATTAAATAGCCTGCGCTGCTGCATGATCCACCCAGCCTACTTTGCTCCAGATCTCCTTCTCGAGGCTGTGAAGTTGAACGCTGGTCGTAATCATGGCATCTATTTCATTGTGGTCATAAGAGCTGTACTTCAAAGTCTGCCACAGATACCGAACACTTTTCTCCATCGCGTCAGCCACATCGTCCAAATTGGCCCGTCGCGAGTGCTCCATGAACGCTTCGAACCACCTTCCGCCTCCAAAAGGCGTGTCGAAGCGCTTGCATCCCAGCAGACGCAACAGCAAAGCCGGGATTTTGTGGCCCAGCCGAGGTGCATCAGCACGCAGGTGCCACGCATCATGGTTGACGTTGCCTTGGTTGAAAAAGGAAGCAACACAGTCAACACAGATTCAACATGGTGGCGTTTTGTCATGGAAAACGTGTCCGACCAATACAGACTTAAACTATTGAACCATCCTACAAATCATTAAACATGAGCGAGGCACGATGATCCAGGGAGTATTCCTCAAGGAGTTCTGGGACACCGTGGCGCTCCAGTTCTTCGAACTGGTAGAGGAATTTCTTCCAAAACCACCATGTCGTCCTCTGAGCCACCGGCTTTTGCAGCTCGCATGCCTTGCAGCACCATACCCAATCGGGCTCAGGGCCACCACCCTGTTCCCACCTCCACAATGAATCTGCGAAGAAGTTTTTTGGCGACAGCTTGTCGCATGCCAGGCACTGCATGGCTGAGAGGAAGGCTATTAAAAAGGTCAGTAATTGCCCTAAGCTACAGTGTCGGAAAATGAGGTGGACAGTGTGATGTGTGTTGAGTGGCCATTTAGCTTGAGAACACATGACTGACATTTGTTTGGCAGTGGGCAGGGCCGGTAGCTGACCACAAAACTGCTGCAAAGACATGAATCAATGCAAGTTCAAGGCTGCTTGCAAAACATTAGTAGGTCTGAATGTGAAAGATTCTTGTGAATCTGAATGAACGTTTCTTGAAGTGAATCTGAATGAAAAAGAATGTGAATCTGAAAAGGAAACCTGAATGAAGGCTGCTGAATGTGAACATGACTGAAGGCTTCTGTAAAAACAGCCATCTGAAGCATCATGTCTGACTGACAGTCTGAGTCCGTGACCCGGGGGGGAGCAGAGCGCACCGCCGTGGGCAACACCTTGCTAGCGAGGAAGTTGCATCATATCGCCGCTCACAAAATCAAAGTCAAAAAGCAAAATTGAAAATCAGACTCAGAAATAATATCATCCTCAGAAACTCACAGAAAACCAATGAGAAAAACTCAATCAGAACATCATAGTCCGAAAATTACTCAGAAAGTCACATTCAGAAAATCAAAGTCAGAACATTCGACTTACATTCAAAATCAGATTCAGAACAAACTAGAAAATCACACTCAGAAAAACATTATTTACTATGAAATCAAAATCAATCATGCGGCTGGCGGCTGAGGAAGACTGAGTTTTGAACAATGCGGCCTTAGCGAAAAGGAACACATGAATCTGAAGCAAAGGTCCACGGAAAAGGAAAGCATGCGCCTTCAAACGTCATAGCCGGTATACAGTATTATACACATATACACATGTACAAACAATTGACCGTAACTTCCTGCGATGGCCTTTTTTCCACATCTTGAACGCTCTATGGGTGGGAATCTGTTTTAGATCCATTCCGTGCCTTCAAAAAGGCCCTAGAGGGTTCTTCACCATAGTCCTTGCCAAACTTTTGGAACTTTGTCATGGGGTGACCGCTGCTTTTTTTGCAAGTTCTGACTGAACACCCACATGGTGGATAACCCTTATTCCAGGCAAAACTTGCCAATTAATTAGTAATAGCCTGTGCTGCTGCACGATCCATCCAGCCTGCTTTGCTCCAGATCTCCTTCTCGAGGCTGTGAAGTTGAACGCTGATCGTGATCATGGCATCTATTTCATTGTGGTCATAAGAGCTGTACTTCAAAGTCTGCCACAGATACCAAGCACTTTTCTCCATCGCGTCAGCCACATCGTCCAAGTTGGCCTGTCGCGAGTGCTCCATGAACGCTTCGAACCACCTTCCGCCTCCACAAGGCGTGTCGAAGTGATTGCATCCCAGCAGACGCAACAGCAAAGCCGGGATTTTGTGGCCCAGCCGAGGTGCATCAGCGCGCAGGTGCCACGCATCATGGTTGACGTTGCCTTGGTTGAAAAAGGAAGCAACACAGTCAACACAGATTCAACATGGTGGCGTTTTGTCATGGAAAATGTGTCCGACCAATACAGACTTAAACTATTGAACCATCCGACAAATCATTGAACATGAGCGAGGCACGATGAACCTGGGAGTATTCCTCAAGGAGTTCTGGGACACCGTGGCGCTCCAGTTTTTTGAACTGGTAGAGGAATTTCTTCCAAAACCACCATGTCGTCTTCTGATCCACCGGCTTTTGCAGCTCGCATGCCCTGCAGCACCACACTCAATCGGGCTCAGGGCCACCACCCTGTTGCCACCTCCACAACGAATCTGCGAAGAAGTTTTTTGGCAACAGTCTGTCGCA